CAAATATGATAATTATATGAATAAGTGTCCTCATTATATATTAATAGAAATATCTTAATGATAATGATTAGGAAGAAACAAATAGCATTATAAAAGCCATCAATGCTATATATTTTAAGCATATTGAAGGCTATACTAACGGTCGTTATGAAAAAACAAGTAAATTTAAGAGTGAAAATGGAACAAATAATTATACCAATAAATAAAGCCATGAATGGAGTGGAGATTGATATAACGATATAGATAAATTTATTGAATAAATTTTCTTTAACAAAGTGATTTAATATCCTCAATGATATGACCGATATATATTTAATGATTGCAAAAAAGGTGGCTATGAATAAATATGGTATAATTATTAAAATAAAAATCAATAAAATTATAAAGGAATCAAATGAGGTGATAAGTTTAGTAAAAATGAATTCATAAAGATATAATTTGTGTAATTGATTTTTCTCTGTAATTCTATTGGAACAAAAGTTCCAATAAGCCATTGTAAAATTTAAAACACTATTAAAAGGCCTTAATATTGGAGAATCCTTTAATAACTCAACTGTAGATTTATTCGCAAATAATTGATAGAACAAATGAATGGTAGCCGCTACGGAAGAAATTGAATAACATGGATAATCCGGTCTTTGTACAATCGTAATTAATGGGAATATGAGTGTGATAAGAATACAATATCCAAAAAATAACAACGTACAAAATGGGACGTATAGAATTACGATGACAGGAAAGGCAAAAAACGAATAAACCCTTTCTCTTAAGTCATATTCTTTTGAAAAACGAACAAACGAATATAACTGATATATTGAAGGAAAATACCAAATGAGTGTTGCAAGCAAATTTGGAATTAGGCATAAGATTAGTACAGGTAAAAAGTAAATTATGAATTCAAGAAGAATCAAAATTGCAAGGAATGCAAATTTTAGAATCATTAACGTCATTTTTTTTTTTTTTTAAAAAAAAAAAGTTAATCATTGTCAAATGAAATGATTTTCTTATATGCATCAGTCGATCATTTGTATCACTTTATCACTTTCCAATGCGAAGAAACTCATATGAAGTGGCGTTTACGCAAATTTCAGTTTTAGTCAATTGATTTATTTTCTAAGAAAGGTAAATTTGTCTAGAAAGAATTCTTTTGTTCATCAAAAACAAAACGAAATTGATAAAATTATTATTATATTATTTTGGAAAAGGTCAGATTATATTAAATTATTTATTCTCTATAATAAAAAATGTTCACACAGTGGTGTAATATGTAAATTTATTACACCATTTGTTTTAAATTATATTAAATAGTTGCTCTCTTGTTATTAGGATTAGAACCCAATTTTTTTCATTAATTCTGCATAGCGTTTTCCAAAAGATGAACACTTGAAAAAAATTATTTAAGGAAGACGCAGAAATTTTTTTTTTTTTTAAAAAAAAAACGCTTTTTCAATAAACGTACAATTATCACCAGTTTAGGCTAGTGATCTGTATTACGGTGTTACAAAAAGTATTGCTTTTAATCATCATTTTTTTTTTTTTTTTTTTTAAAGTTCAACCAACATTCCTTTTTTTTTTTTTTTTTGTTAAATGATGATCTTAAAGTTTGTTTTTCTTTCAACATTAATTTTATTTGAATTGATATTAAATTTCATACCAATTTATATATTGTGTCTAATCCCAAATTTAATAACGATACTGATATGGTATTTTCCATCAATCTACCAACTTTACCATTTTATTTTCACGGAAAATGAACTAGATTTAAGGATAAAAATTTATTTATTCTTCCTTTCGCCAGTGATAATTATTTTATACATCCCTACTTGCATCTTACTTTTCATTGGTTATAGCATTTTCATCACTTTTGTCGTTCCGATTATAACGGTCATAAAAAGGCCGGAATATCCGGTTCATTCACTTTCATCAACAACAGCATTAATTTATTTAATTTATAAATTCTTTCGTAATAATGATTCCATTTATGAATTGTTGATTGATTCGTTATTGTTTAAACCATTCAAGGAGTCCATATTATTCATCAGATCCTTTTGGCATTTCAATTCCATAAAATTCTCAGAAAAAATTCAACATTATAAATTCAATATTTTACAATTAATCTTTCAGAGGGTGATTCGTTTCATCGATTTGTCCATACTCATTTCCATATTCATTCTAATAATCGTACCGTATGGGTACGTGTTTGGGTCTTTCTTGGTGATGTTACAATTCCTAATCGGGTTCATCGGGATGACTTATAAGAATTTCAAACACATATTTTGTGATTTATCATATAAAGAATTTTATTTAATAATGGTCGTTCCAATCCTTTATTCCTTCGTTCTCGTTGGAGCTTTTTGTTATTACTTCATCTTACAATTATCATTTTTATCCGCCGTAATGTTCATTGACACATTTCTCATGATATTTGAAATTTATTATGATGGTGAGTGTGATGATGACGTTGAAGGTTTTTATGAGGTCATGTACTTTTTCTGGACTATTATTATCAAACCATTCCTTTTATTTGATGAAATCATCGGGATACAAGTGGATAGTCCGGCTTATGTGTTCTTTGGAATTTATATAGACTATGACGAAGACATGTTGCATAAAGTTGATTATCTAACAAGTTATGTATTTTTAAATAAATTTTAAGAAATTAAAAAAAATATAATACATATAATTTATTTTAAAAATTACTTTGAAACTGTGGAAGGGGTGTGGGAAAATGTAGTTGATCTATACGCTATAATTTGTCCTTTCGTGTGTTTAATTGATCCTTTTATGGAAAGAGATTGTCGCATTCAACGACAAATTTGGTTACTTTTTATTTACTCATTCCCTTTCCTTCTTGATTGGTTGTTTTGAGAAATTCAAATAAATTGTTTTTTGTTATGTAATTGATTAATAAATTAAATCTGTGATTCAATAGAAATGTTTGAGTAAATCAAAACAAATCTATACATAAGAAAAGATAATGCAAAAGCTACCGGAATGATTTCAGGTTTATATACTTGTTCTAAAATATATATACATCAATTACTATACGTTTGTAGAAGCATATCTCCCGTCTATACTTAGCACATTTATTAATTTAGAATGTACTTCGACCTGAAATGGTTCAAATGGAACCCTTTCTCCATCAATGCTAATGTATCCAACATCTTTGTTTTTGGGGGTTAATCGCAACGCCGCTACCTTATAATAATTGACCTTTCAATGATGTAAAAAAAATGTAGACATTTAATTAATCTCTCACTTTCGAAAATGAAGCGTGAAAAATAAAGAATAAAATAAACAAAAAAAAATTCACTTTACCTCCTTCATGTTAATATGAGATGATTCTTCAAATGAGGTCAATATACTTGCAACTTTCATTCTTGATACTTTCTCAGTGTTAACGACCATTAAATCTAAGAGTCCATCAGATGGTAACGCACAAGGAAATACAATTTGTCCTTTGGATATCCATGGGATCTTGCCTGCGATGAAGATATATCCATCATCATTTAAAACGGTCCAATCTGATGGGATCGGATCATTTACACTTCCAAACTTATCCTTAATCCCCTCCGATTTATCTCGATTGTCTTCGATACATGATGTTGATGCATCATATGTTTTATGATATCCTTGTTTAATTTTCTCAATATTATCCTCGACAACTTTCATAGCTATCTCACAACCATATCTTCGATTTGCTAATAATGCTTGTAAGGCACCAACCACGAACCGTAAATCCTTCATAAATCTACAATAAATAGAATCAAGTTAATGGGTAGAAAATATTAACGTGATAAAAAAACCTTTCGACAAGATGAAATACCTCAAATGTTCTGTTGACAAATCGCAATCGGCTATTATACCATAATTTATTGTCATGAAAGAATAATATCTTTGATTTCCTTGTGTCACTGAACACACATCAATTTTCATTGGAACGCCTGAAAAGAACATAAAAATTTGTAAAAAAAAAAAAAAAAAAAAAAAAAAAAAATGCTCCAGATGTAATGATCAAATGAATACCTTTGACGACGTTTAGAGCGGCATGAGACGCGCTATTACCGTGATCGTTTCCCAAGAGACAAAAACTCAATCCGTTTCCGCTACCTACAAAAATGTTGAACATGTTTAACTGTTAAATCATCAAATTATAATAATCGAAAATAATAAATTTGGGATGGAATTTACCTGCGGGAACAACCCCAATTGGAATATCGATGTCAAGTGCGTCATCACGTGATAAGAGTCCATTGATGACTTCGTGAACGATTCCATCACCACTCGCCGTAACGATGGTGTCATAATCTTTTAAATCCAAATCTTTAACAATTTCTTTGGCATGATTCGAATATTCCGTTACTATATTTACAGAGAAATGATGAACGGGTTATGTTTGGTAAACATTAAGGATGATTTGGGGGCCTCAGGGACCTATCTACATGCGTCACAAACATAATTTAACCCCTTAATTTTAAGGAAAAAAAAAAAAATTTACTAACAAGTAATGTCACATTTGCACCTTGCCGCATCAAATATTGGTTTAACGGAATTATTGAAGATTTTCATTGCTCTACCAGATCCGCCAAAAGGATTAATGAATATCTTGAGTCTTTTCTCTTTTTTCGTATCTAAAGCAAAAAAAAAAAATGTTAATGTGGAAGAAACCTTTACATCTTATAATTCTAATCTTACCTTTATATACAATAGCATTTACGTTTTCGATCCATAATTTAGCAATTTCCTCATCCAAGACATCAAAAGAAAAGGTATTCAACTTCAATACTAATTTTCCATGTGGAATTAGCGCCTTGACTATAATTCGAATGCCTTTTGATTTATCAAGATAAACAGAAAGTATGTACCTAGAAGATATCTTTGTAACTTTAATAAATAAATGATTTAAAATAAATTAAATATGCAAAAAAATAAATAAATAAATAAATAAAAAAATAAAATAAAATAATCAAGGAGGATAAGTGTTTATTACCACCAATTTTATTTTTCGATTCAAAGGACAATGCATCACTACTAAAAGATAAAATCGTGGTATTATCACCGTTCTTTGCTTGTAAGGATAGCATTTTCTGATTAATGAATTCTGAAGACACCCACGGTTTTCACGGAGCCTTTATATACTTTTGCCCTGTGCATCTTTATTTATATGATAACTCCATTCAAATTTACTATTTCAACGTGACGTTGTGATGATCTTATGAAAATTTTGATCAAGTAAATATTTGTATGTTGTGAAACCAATCCCTCAAGTTTAATCCATGGATCGTAGATCCAATTATTCCTTTTGAATTTTTATGGATTAGAAGTACTTATAAGAACTCTATGCGAGCCATATTCTTGTGAACAAAATAGTAAGAAATCAACTTGTTCGAAACTACACTTTTGACAGATACAATTTATTCCCGAGAGCAATTTAACGGTTTTCACAACGACCAGTTTGTCGAAGTTTCATCAGCAAATGACTGTAATGTTGATCATTTCAGATTTGTATAAAACTGCCTTTTATTGCGGCGGTCCGATAAGATTGGTAAATTTAATTTTTATTGACGAATAATTACTTATTGAAAAGCCCAGTAATTTTATGCAGCATAATTAATTAATAGATCAAATGATTGGCAACAAATTAAATTAAATATTTTTAGCTGTATTCACGGACAGTAAAATAATATGAACCGTAACATGATTTAAGTTCTAGTAAACTCGCTCAACAATTAAATAAATTTGTCAATAAATTTAGTATGCAAATTTTTTGCAACACCCACCATTTTTATCTATTATTGGATTTTTTTTTATTATTTTTTTGTTGTGCATTAAAGGCGTTATATGAGTAACCTTTAGTTACAATGAAAATTATTTTTGGGTATTGATAGGTCATTGATTTTTTTCCGAAATAAAAAAGAGAGCATGCAAAACAAAATTCTTCGGTTAACCTTTTTAGGATGCCGTTCAGTTCTTTATAGTGGAACATTGACTACGAAAACCTTGAAATGCTCAACGAACACGGAAAGGTGAGATGAAAGAAAACGTAATAAAATTTATCCCGCAAAATATTTAAAATTCTAGCCGCAGTTTTTAAATTTAAAAAATAGATGTTTTAATAATCAAGTTAATCATTTTAGAATTTTTTATTTTAAAAAAAAAAAAACTATTTGAGTTCATATTATATTGTTAAAGCACAAGAATATTCAAATCTTGAAATTAGAAGTATTTGAATAAGATTATGCATATTTGGATCATGCATTTCTAAATGCAAATAATGAAATAGTATCATTTGTTGAATGAAATTATGAAAACTGTCAAATAGGAGGAGCGTGACAATGATGCACTTGAAGCTTCCGCTTTCTATTAGCACCTACCGATATTGGCCTTCCAAAAAGAAATAGGAGATGAGCCATTTTATTCTTTTCTTTTTTTAAAATTAACGCTCCTCCATAGAAAGGACTTACCCGATCAAAAAAATTAAAAGACTTCCGACGTAACCATAAAGTTTAGTTATCTTCAACAAAAAATATACAACTCTATGGAATTTGCATCCTACTAAAGAATTGAAGATCTCCGGAATCTACAAAAAAAGTTAAAATTGAAGACCTCCGGAATTTTCAAAAAGGTAAAAATTGTTAGTTAATTTCTTTTGATAATGAAAATTTGCTTCTTTATTGGTTTACTCGCTCATTGCACTTTGACTTTTACTTTGCGTAGCGTCCGAACTATACAATGGAGTAACTAGAACATGACGTATTGTATATACATGCCAAGCATGATTATACAATACCATTTTCTAAGATGAAAAATTAATTATGAAGTCAAAAATTTGATTACAGTATATGAATAAAATTCCGAATATAAAGATTAACAGTATTTTTTTTTATTATTATTATTTATAAAAAAAGCAAACGAAATTTCTTTCTTCCCCTCACGTACCCAAAAATTATGCTAAGTTCCAAATAACTTGCTGAAATTATTGAACACGATCTCGTATTGATTATTCAATAATACAATATTTAGATATTAGCATTACAGCGGCACCAAGCTTTACTTTGATTATTTTTTTCCGAAATCAACGATGTTTATTTTCAAATTTGTATGACAATTCTTTTTATTATTGAAAAGTGAAGAAGGTTTTTCGATAATATCACAAAAAAAAAAATAAAAAATAGTAATAACCTCTATTAACTGCTTTTTCATTATAGCGAATTTATTTTTATTATCATTATTAATCATAGCGCTAAAATATTATTTATATACTCATTTTCTACGACAATATAAAAAATGTTAAACAAGTTAATGATTAAGAAAATTATCGAAAGAAAAATGTGATTTGATTGATTAAAGATTAAATTTATGGTCTACGATGCAGTTTTTGATGCCTTGTATTACCAGATTTATTATTGATACGCGAGATTAAATATGTTGAAAAGATATTTTACGGTGTCATTTGCGAAAAAGCGAGGAATGTAAAGTTGTATAGGTTATGTGATTGCGCAAAATATTCAGCAAAATTCAGAAAATTCAAGTCTAGAAATTTAATTGCAAGTCAATGCCTTTTTCTTGATCGAGAAATATTGAAGCGGATCCTTTATTAACAATTATGCGGTTTAAATGTTTGAACAAGAAATAGACGTCAAGTCAAATATAATCATTATTCAGGTTTTTATTATTTTTGGATAATATGATAAATTATCGTGCTCACCAGTATGTAGACGATCTTGTTTTTTTAATATTTTTAGTGATATCACGAAGTTTATATGAAACTTAGTTATACTAATAATAAACTATTAATAATATTAATATTACCTGTTTTATACTTTTATTAATATCTCGTAACTTGTTTCTATTTTCAATATAATAAAATAATATGTGTAAATTAGTAAAAATGGAATGCTGTGTTAACTGTAAAAATTTTCAAGAAATCCCATCGCTATAATTTTAGTTTAGATAAGTTTTTGGTCATCAAGTTATAAAGATAAAAAACATTTATAATTTTTACCACGGGCTTGTCATTGATTTTCTAAGGGGACTAATTAATATCCAAAAAAAAAATTTTCTGACGAGTATTTAGATAATTTATATCAGCTGTAATTTTGAATATCATTTGGTATTTTTAGTCGTTGACAAAAGGTGGTCTTTTTTATTGTTGCAGTATTAATTGGTTGTACTTTCATTTATATTTTTCAAAGTTAAAGATAATAAAAAAAAAAAAAAAATAATCATTATAATCGATGATTACCATTAATAAATTTTCATATCTTGAAATATGGATTTTAGCATATAAATGTTGCTTTTTTATTAAATAAAAGCAATTCGTCTTCTATAATAATTAATAAGTTCGTTAATATTTTCTTTCCATTAGGAAATTTTAAAAGTATAATTCGTCTAAAAATGAAAATTGTTAAATTATATTATTAAACTTATCACAAAAAAGTAACAAATTTACCTTTTTTCGTGGTTCTTAAAAAGTGGTTCTTCCATTTTTTTTTTAAGAATTAATATAAATGACGAGATAGAGAAAGATAATGAAATTTTCTTCATAATTTTAAGTCAACATCATAAAATCACACGATAATATCGTTATTGTGCTTTGCGTTGATAAAAATCAAAATTATTGTCCAATATAATGATGATTGGTTAGATTTAGCCACCACTACGTGGCTAAATATAACTGATCATGGACAATAATTTTGATTTTTATCAACGCAAAGCACAATAACTTATAAATATTGGTGCAATGTCTCTGTGACACAAAGTCTGAACTTTACTGATTCTTATTAAATATAAATGCTGAATAAAATGTTAGATGTTTTTTATTAATGCGACATAAAAATCCATTATAATCTATTTTTGTGATTTACGCACAATTCATTATCATTGTAGCATGACCTTTAAATATTACGAATTTTCGATAAAATAATGTGATCTAATTTTTACCTGCAAGATGTAAGCACGAACATCTTTCGTAATTGCTTTTTTTGTCTGACATAGCAACAATTGGTTCCTGATAGAGTTTGGACTCGAGTCAGAAAAGTTAACTCGAGTCAAAGTCGAGTCAAGAAATTTTTGACTCGAAGAGTACTCGAGTTGGAAATTCGAGTCAGAAACTCGAGTCAAACTCGAGTTAAAGTCATAATGCGGGCCGGAAAAGTACAATGCAGGCCAAAATTTTTGATAATTTTGGCCGAACTTAAAAGAAATTTTTAAAAAATGTATAAATTCTATATCTTATAGATACAGAAAAAGACGTTTTTCTATATTTTATATGAAATTTTTATATTATTTTTCTATATATATTATATATTTTAATATGTATATTTTTTTTATAATTTATGTATATATATTTTTTATAGAATTTTTCTTGAAATCATCCCAGATGATATTATTAACTACCATCCTGTGATAATATGAATATTAAATTTATCACAAGACTGTGATCTGCAGTAAATATCAAATAATTGATTACATAATATAATCTAACAAACTTTTATTTCCATTTCATTTCATTCATCCTTTTTTTTAAAAAAAAAACCTTTGTTATTTTTTTAATCTTTAAACTTAAATACCTTCTTTACTTTACTAACATTTAAGAGTTTTAATACTTTTAAAGAAGTAAGTATATCTTTATTAGTTAATTTTATATCAATGGCTTTATTTATGATTAAATTCTTTTTCAATATATTTTTAGACATTCATTCAATAAGAATAATAGAACAAACTGACATTAATTATAAATTTTTTAATGAAACTAATGATAAATAATAGTTTCAAACATATATTATCTTAGCAAATACTCATTTCACCTTCTATTCCTTCTCTTTCTTCACACAAGAAATATCTAAAAAGTCAACTGAAATATTTAGTATGCCTGATATTACTTTTGAACTTATAATCAAATTATATATTGGAATGCAATTTGAAAATTAAAATCATGCAAATTTGGTTTTGTTAGATTAAGGACAATAGATCAACTTTGTATGATGAATTCAAGACAAGTATCTAGATAAAAATAGTGGTATATATAAATATGTATTTAATGTCAATATGCTACAAAGTTTCAATCAAAAAAAAGACTATAGACTCTTCAAAATAACATAATAGAGAATCAGATCAAACAGTTTACTAGTCACTAAATCATTAGATCTATCTATTACTAAAATAAATCTTATATATTATAGATATTCACTTAATCCTAAATCCATTTGATTTGCTAATATTTATTATCAATTTCTTCAAAATATAATAAATAAGATTGAATTATATGTAAATATAATACAAAAAATCAATCAACATATTATAAAATAACTTTTTATTGGTAAATTTAAGAATCAGCTTTTTTTAGATAAAGATTTAGCTAATATTATTTAACATTTTTAAAAGGAAATATAATGGATTCTGAAAATGATTCTGAAATTATATATCAATCCTTCTTAAAAAGTTACAAAAACTTAAAGAAAATAATCCTATTTGGTTTATATCTTATTATTGTATTAAAAATTGACTTTATTATTCTGAATGATATTATATCAATAAACTCTTTATTTAAAATATTATAATATTATATTGATAAATAATACTGCACAAACTAATAAGTATTAATTATTATATTTGTTTATAGAGATTAATAAATATCATCACTCAAACTTTAATATTTAATGAAATAATTTTATTATATATATATGGATTTATAAAGCTCTTTTAAAAGTAGTTAATAATTTATAACTATCAACAATATTTCAGATTATAATATAAAATTAGATCTAGCAATTAAAACTATTTTTGTTTCTACTCAATATTTATATTGCATTTTTCATATCATTTAAAATATTAAAAAGTATCTTATATAATCACTTGGATCTCAATATGTTAAATTTCAATCAGTATTTTTTCTTATTATAATACTTTATTTAAAATAATTTTTGAATCATGATTTAAAGCATTATATACAAAATTTTTTAAATGCATCATCATATTTCTAAATTACATTATATCTAATTAAATATCAAAGAGCTAAATATTTTATATATCAAATATGTTAAAGTTAAAATTAGAAGTTAAGGTTAGAATTAGAATTAGAGTTAGAATTAGTGACTAATGTTAAAATTAGAAGATTAAGATTAAAATTAAAAGGTTAAAATTAGAATTAGAAGTTAGGGTTAAGATTAAAAGATTAGGGTTAAGATTAGGAGGTTAAAATTAGGATTAGAAAGTTAGAGTCAGGATTAGGAGGTTATTATATATTTCTAAATTTATTACTTACTTTATTTAAGAATTTAATACTAGCATATAATCAATATAATGAGTAGAATCAATTAATGAAATTATATTATAGTAATTCATATTTAATATTAAGATCTTTTAATAGAATTCAAAATATATTATCATCTGAATTACAAAAAGCAGAATACTAAAATTATTTAGCTAATTTACCTTTTAATATAGCTTCTTCTTCAGTAATTTAAGTTTATCTAAAAATAATAGAAACTTTAAAAAAATATTTTAATAAAAGAAGTTTTTATATTGATATATGTTTTGAATATTATTCAAAATTAATTCCTTTTAATTAATATTATAATTGTAATAAGGTAAGAAATTTATTTGTTATAAAGTATAATAATTGATTTTTTTGATACTAATATTCAATTTTTTTTTAAAAAAAAGATTGATAATTCTGATACTTCTAATTGTTTTGAAGATTTTATAGATAAATCTCAAGTTGCACTTAAATATCTTATTAATTATATTAATGCTATTAATTTTTGGAGATTTAGGAAGTCAAACATATGG